CTCCACTGATGTGGTTTTTGAATGTGTCACTTCTGTTAATGGTGCTTATGTAGCTATAAACATGTGTCATTCAGCCAACTTCAGCTCTCATTTTAAAGCTCAGAACAGCCCGATGAGTCAAGACAGTTTTTCAGTCTGACGTTGGCCCGTTGACAAGTCTGGTGACCTAGATGGCCGTCTTAATAAAAAGTTTGGACACCCCTGTTATACACAATACAGCACAATGCCACACACTACAGCACTTAAGAATATATTTACGTCAAACTCCAGTAAAACATATGTGCAGTGCTTTGTGAACTGCATTTTGCTGCTCACATTGCAGAAGAATACATAATACATGCCATAGTGTTGCCTTGCAGTATTTCTCTGGGTATGATACACATGGGCTGAACAGAGGCGGCGTGCTGATGCAGCAGGCCTCTAATACTGAGGGCTTTGGAGAGTGATTGTGAAATAGGTTTTACTCCATCCACGGCTACGCATGTCAAGTGCAGACATATTAGGTGGATTTCCACATGAGTTTGAGAGAACTAAATGACCAAGTGAACATGTCTACCCTCTACAGTCTGTATCCTTTTATCACCGCTCCAGGCAGCATCCTATTACAGTGGAGCATTCCATTCTGTAAAAGGAAGGAATGTGACTGAAAGAGCCTTTTTCTACAGAGTGTGCTAAAGCAAGCAGAAAAGTAAGTCAAATTCGCTTTTCATTTTCCCTCAGAGATCTGTTAAACGTTCAATTTAACAGCTCCCGGAAACAGACCTTACATTTCAGCTTTTAGGGGCTGTTGCGATGGATAGAAAATATTTTCGACAGTAAATTGAGGCAAAATGAGATTCTGTACTTTACTTTTCCCGTGTGTCTTACCGTCCAGAGTGTTATATCTGGTCAAAAATAAACTCTTCAATTATTAATTACTCGGAAGTTGGATTTCAGAGTTTTCATATTTTCCAACAAAAATAAACACATTCAACAACAAAATATATTGTGTTATTGAATGTATTTATTTACGTTGGAAAATACCCTAATTCATCAATTATCATGAATAAGAGGAAGTTTACACTGCACTGTGTAGTTTCCAAGAACATAATGATGTCACACAACAACCACCACTTGATGATGTCATCTGATTGCTTTCTTCCATATCCCGAGGTAAGAAGTGATTAAACAACAGTGTAAATGCCAACGCACAGCTTTAACGTCAGCAACACAATTCTAATAAAGCAGCATGTATTCGCACAATCTAAAACAAATGTAAAATCAAAACTAAAACTGCATTAGTTTAGTTTAGATTTTGGTTTCAGGTAAATAATATAATTTAAAAGGTGCACAGATTCACAAACCACTTTTGAGAGAACACTAAGGTATTCCATAAGGAGATGTGCAAATCAACCATTCTTCTACTTTTATCTTCAAGTAGAACACGTTGTACCATCTAAACTGTACAGTTGCTGACATTTGCCCACAGATATCCGTGTTCTAAGCCACGCTGTGTGCCTGCGAGCTGCGGTGGACATATTAGTAGCTTAGCTCCTCTTAGCCTCACTGACAGAGTGACAGAGACATTGCTAATCCAGCTCTGACAAGCCGATATTCCTCCTGCTCCCTTCTTTCTTGTCTTTCTGTCTCTCTTCTCTCCATCTTTCCTTGAACAAAATTACAGTTCACCTCTGAGTCCGTCTCATTCTGCAGCAGCGCAGGACATATGGGGAGGTGGCGGCGAGTAAGTAATTAGATTAAAAAGCACATCATTCTTTTATAATGAACAAAATGTCCGATAGGAATAAGCAGTTTCTGAAAAAGAGTTGCCGAGATGCTTTTTTGTGTTACTCTCAGACGGCATACAGTATACAGGTATGTGTGTGCAATAGTTTATTTAATGACTTTTGCACAGATGAGTGAAAGTAATAGAACCAATTCATAATCTAGTTTTTTTTAGACACATCTGAATATAATCTCAGCGTGTTAGCACTCACAGATACTGTATTATGGGTTCAAGTGAGCTGCGAATGCACTTGGAACTGAAATAAATTCTCACCTGCATGGCCGATGACTCAGCCGAGGTCAGGCCATGTGTCGGATTAGCATTCATTGAGTAAGGACAGGGGAGATGGAAATGCTGAGAGAGACGTTAAGGCCTCATCTTCACAATAATGGCTTTTCTTCAGTATGTGAGTATGGCACAGAATATAACTGAGGAAATGGACCACTCGACCTGAATTCACGGTCCCTGAAACTATTCAACTTTAAATATGAAGCTGTTCCAATGGTGCTTTTTACACAACAGAGAACTAAAGACACACAATTCAGAAAGTGATGTAGTGCATTGTGTTTCATTAAAAATTGATAAATGCAAAATATTCTTCTTGGTTTGGGGGTAGTTCTACTTCTAGAGGGCCCACTTCTGGAGGATTCACATCAGAAGCAAAAGCACAAGTCCTCATGACGTCACTGCTTAAATAATTAGAGCCATCACACTTGTGGACATAGTTGTTCCGTCTTTATTTGTGGATGTAGCATTCATGTAGATACAGTATGTTCCTCCTCGTCACTTCAAGGGACTGTAAGTAATGTGCTGATTCAATTACAAACCAACTTTTGGTGCCAGAATCCAAACTGCCTGTGACACATGTTTTAAGCACTGATTGCTGGTCCACCTGCCATCAGGTATTATGTATATACTACTTATTTTTGTACCTGCCTTAATTTAATTTGTGTGAATGTTTGTGAATTGTCATATATATTTTTAAAAGATAAAACCATCTAAATTCCATCTAACAAACCCAAATGAGAAGCTTATTCTGCTCTCTTGAAAAAGTGCTATTTATATAGAATTCTTACTTACTGAAAAGTGTAAATAAGAATATTGTGGACAAATGCCCATTGTATATTTATCTAAGTAAAACTTACTTTAAACTATTATTCAGAAAAGACCAAATTTGATTTGCACATTCGTAGTACGTAGATGTAATTTAAAATGGAAATATTACTTACAGTTCCTTTAAGTCAGATTTGAAAACTAATGCCCCGGTGACCAGACCAGACCGAATGAATCAGATTAAAGTGAACCAGACTTGGTCCAGTTAAAGTGAACCAGACTTGGTCCAGTTAAAGTGAACCAGACTTGGTCCAGTTAAAGTGAACCAGACTTGGTCCAGTTAAAGTGAACCAGACTTGGTCCAGTTAAAGTGAACCAGACTTAGTCCAGTTAAAGTGAACCAGACTTGGTCCAGTTAAAGTGAACCAGACTTGGTCCAGTTAAAGTGAACCAGACTTAGTCCAGCGTGAACAGAGCTGACGAGTGACGGTGAACCAAGGCGCTCTCGTTCGCTCGTCAACAACAGCTCCTTTAGCCTGAACACACACTCACTGAACACACTCCACTTTGATTGAACCAAGTGTGAAAGCACCATTTTAATACACTGATTTCAAGCTGTGTGAATGCATGTGCATTTGAATGGGTTTATGGGACAGTTTATGGTTGTAAAGTGGCTTTGAGTGACGAGTTACGGCAGAGACATTATTTGCAGCCATTTCCCTGCCTCTAATGACAATGCTACCTGCTATTGAATATTCCCAGCATGAACATATTTCCCCCACATACTTGGCACAGTGTTTCTCGATGCCCCCTGAGAGACCCTGCAGCGGCCATCAGACCATTAACATCTCTGCTGCTGACACACACTGTTCAGTATACAGAGATTCTGCAGCATTACACATCACTACAGATAAAAAGGGTTCCCCCATAGGGCACCAGCATTGGGTTAGGTTACATGTATATGAAGTGAAAAAAAAGGTTTATTTTTGTCCGGGTTCATAAAATAATAACATAGTTTTAATGTTAAAGCTGCACTAACTGACTTTATTTTTGTATTCATTACGAAAATGCTATCCATGTCCATGTAGTGCATTGGGATATACGTCCTTTTGAAGAATAATTAGCGCAGATTTGTGCTGGCGTGACATTATATTTTAGATCGAGTTTTGATGAAACAAGGAAGAGAATGTGTTTCGGGTCGCAGATTGTGACCAATCACAGCGGACCAATAGCCCCCACTTTCGTGAGAAATCTACAGGTCCGTTAGCATAGACAGCTGAGTTAGCACAACAAGTGACGGTGCTAACCTGAAGCTTCGTGTCTTCATCACCTGTTACTGCTTACACAGCGAAACAGCCATCCAAAAGAAAGTCCCGTTCCTCCGCGCTTCCCGGTTCTGTCGTTTTATGGTCACGCCATCCACGTGCAAATCCATGTCCATGTATTATCAATATTGGGAGACACTAGCTCCGTCCCAACAGTGAGTGTGTGTGGGGGGCGATAGCTTCGTGGGTGCGGGGAGGGGAGCAGAAAGAGAGAGGCCAGCGAGTCCACGGCTTCAAAATCCCAAAGTCAGTTAGTGCAGCTTTAAGATAATAGCTCTTTGCAATGTAGAACAATGTCTGTTGAAACATACCTCGATACATATACAAAACTAGATACAGGGCACTTTCAATTAGCGATTGAATTTTCAGTTATTAAAAAATCTCCTCGGACTCATGTTTCTGTATGCAATGCGTGAGTCTGAATATCACAAAATACCATTATATATTTACAAAATACATATATAAATAGTTTAATATTGTATCTACTTGTAAAAATAAGTGATTTTTAGCACACCCCTAATTATGACAAAAAAACTTGCACTGCTATAGTCACTTTTTATTTTGTATTGTATTATTGCTATATTTTTAACAATTTTAACATGTTTGCATACTTCCTGTCTTTTTTCACGACCTGAGTGATTCTATATGACATGTTTTCTCCATTGTGAGATCAATAAAGTTCATCCTATCTTATCTTAAACTCAAAATCCTGTGGTTAGATTCACCCTTTGAGACCCGATCCTGTTTCCCAGCCTGTACAATCTCTGGGAACTATTTCTTCTGTGATCATTGACAATAATGTAATGTACCTGTTCAGAAACACCCATAGCTCGACAAGCCAGACAACTCCCTCCTGCCTACGTGGGCGTGGCTTGCCGAGCTAATACACCCACGTGGCACAAGAGAATACATAATAATACTTGTAGATCCGTGCAGTGTATCCTCAAGTGTGTATCAGTAAACAGGAGTGTGCCTGACGACCATCACCACCTACCACCTTCTAAAAATAGTCTTCTCCAGTGCTGCAAGTTTGCTGTTTCTCCCACACAGGCTTTAATTAAATGGTTGGGAATAGGAACGCTGTGCAGTATAAACTATTGGGGTCACACATTCTTCGACTGCCAACCCCGCGCTACAGCCCAGAAACACACAAACACACACACTAACGCACACACACACACACATTTCTGTCTGTCTTTCCGTCTCCAGCAGTATATCTTTATGCATATTCTGAGTTGTGAAGTTGGATGCATCAAAGGAAAAGTAAGTGATGGATCAAACTGCTTGGTGGATGAAACATTTGCGTTATTAACATGGGACCGCAATTAGAATTAATCTTCAGAACATGCTAAAGAAGACATAACGTTCTTCTGCCTGCTATATAGTGATAATCTTTGACAGCCGTTGCTCTGTAATAACTTTAGTACATTTGAAATATCAATAGTATTTTTAAATGATGTTATTGCGGAGACATATTTGCGATATTGCTCGGTGGTCTAGTTCTTAACACCTTTGTCCTTTGTTTTGAGGTATTAGTGTTATTATTCAATGCTTAAATGACGATACTTTAGGATAATGTGCAGTATGTTACATAATTTACATACTAAAACCAATTATTGTTTTGGTCCCGGCATCGTTCCAGGACCAAAACGAACACTGTTAACGCAACGTCTGTGGAAATGGGGTCACAACAAAGGGTTTGCTCGGACCCCAAAAGTAGGTTATCTGAATTATCCGCATATCGCAAATTCAGAATAGATAAATGCAGAACAATATGTCATAGAAGCGATGGCAATGGCGTCTTGGTTGTAAGATATGGAAAATCACTTAAACATGCAAGAATTGATCTAAAACATAATTTTTCCTTGCCAATGCAGGAGGGTCTGTTAGTGGGTCTAACTAAAAAAAGACTGATCCAAAACACTAACATTCTACAACATTTATGGACATTTTAAAGAATTCATAGACATTGGCCAACTCCCTATGGACCAATACCATGTGTTCTATATTTTTTTAGTTTGAACTGTTTGATTCTCTGGTCTGAGTTCAATATTTAAACGGTTTTGTTGTGTCCTCTGAGATAGCGACTGATTTATTAATAAATTGAAAGAAATTGAATTGAATTATGTCTCCTTTAACAGTAATATTTGTTCAATGTTTCTTTCCAGTGATATCTTTGCTCTCCAGTTCAATAATGAAGGAAAAGTTAAACAAATCGCCATTCTTACTTATCCTTAGTATCCAGAAATGTATTGAAATGATATTTGAGCATCATAAACCACTCCATCACATCACATGCCATGCAAACACACACAGACACACACACACACACACGTTTAACCGCATACCTCGACAGATGGGGGCGGGGAAGTCCCAGACCGCTGTGTTGCCGGCGTTTGTGATACACGTTAGCGTTGCGTGTCCGTCTAACACGTAACCCGGGACGCAGCTGTACTGGACACGGTCGCCCACTGCAAACTTCCCGCCGCCGCTCAGCACGGCTTTGGGCGGCACTCCGGGGTTACCACAGGAAGAGCTCTGAAGTTCTGCAAGAAAAGTACCAAAGTATTACTGACAGAGTTGTTTCTTTAAAAGTTAAAAGTTTAATTAAGCATTTCCCCAGACGTATGTCCTCCAATAAAATTAATAGACATTGTTTTTGCTCAGTGACGCGTGCAAAGTGGAGACAGTGGAACAGAGAGAGTCCCGGTCTTAACTTGGTGGCAGCAATTACAGTAGTTTCATGATCCATGCAAGACCTACTATTAATCATGTTTAGCAATACAAGGCTTGCAGTGTTTTTGGCCAGTGTTTAGAGGAGTCTATTAGGACAAATGTTGAAACGTTTTCACAAAAGCAGCCAACCTTTTTCGGTCTTAAAGTTGGAGCAAAACCTGGACCCCATAAAATAACTATGCACCAAAGTCTATATAACTAGTAGATCCTAGCTCTCAAAACAATTTCGTTCTGGCACTAGTTTTTCATGATGTGAATTGTTAGTTATTTTTAACTTGGTTTTGTATCAACTTTAGTTCTCAGTTAGTTTGCTTTTAGTTTTACTACCTGTGTACCTTGATTGTCTCTCTGTGTCTCTCTGTACCTGTGCTCCTCTCCCCTTGTCTCGGGTCCATTGTATTGTCTCTATCTTTGTCTGTCCGTTATCCTGGTTCCTGTGTTTTGGATTTTGGTGTTTGCTTTTTTCCCTGGACTTTTATTTTGTTATCGATAAATCATAATTTTTGGCGTTCTTGCATTTTGGGTCCTTCATTCACTTCACCCCATGACATTTTTGGCCATAATCACATCTTTAGATCAGCTATTTTGGTGAAACAGCTCACAACAACTCACTCATCAATTCAGCTCTTAGTGTAAAAAAAAAACAGCACATTGTGGTCTGAATGTTTCCAAACCAGACAATCTGTTGGGACTAACACAATACTGAAAGAAATAAGTTAGCTCTACCCCGTAGCACCCTCGGTTACAAATATGCAACGGTTATGGCAAATGAAGTATATCTTTTTGATTGAATGCATTTACTAATATACATGTACCCGAGAACCCACAGAAGAAATAAGGCTACATTGTTAAATATGCTACATTGCTAACCATGCTACATTGCTGGATATGCTACATTGCTAAATATGCTACATTGCCTAATATGCTACACTGCATGCTGCACAGATCATTTCTTTTCAACAAATATTTTTTTATGTCTGGGTCCTACGTGGTTAACTTCTTTGGTACAAATAATGACCAGATATTTTGGTGATTAGCTGGATAGGCAAACAACATTGTCCACAAATTAGTACTATTGCTTGTTTGTGTTTAAACCAAGCCTTAAATGAAGCAGGAGGAAGCTCGACCCAACATCTAGAGCAGTGCATCTCGCAAGTGCAGCAGTCAATAGAAATCAAACAGCAGCAAACAGAGGAGAGGCAATTCAAGTGTTTTATAGATAATGAGATTATCCCCCCTGGACACAGCTGCCATTCTGCAGGACTTATGGACGAGTGTTGCATGTTAACATCTGTGTCCACAAAACAAAGCCCCATCACACACACCACGGCCACAAAAGCCACACCAGCTGCACACTGGCTCCGAATGGAAGGCTAAAACAGGCCATAAACCAGGAAGTAGATGGGTGAACAGGGACCAACCGCAGTCTTATTGTTTGAACTTGATTGATACGAGGAGGAAGCTGCGTGGACAGATAGAGAGTTAGGGGGAAGAGGGGAAATGCATGGGTTGAAGATTTAGTGGGGAAGCTGGATGGAAAGACAGGTGGCACTGCAGTTTTCAAACATGGGGAAATGATGAACGCAAGAAAATTAATCTTCCATAGACGTTGCGCTCATTCTATTTCAGTTGTAGGGAACAATATAAATACTAAATGTCCAAAACAGGCCTAACTGTCATCCCAGATCATTACCAAATATGCCATATCTGATTTAATATGCCATAAACGTCCTTTCTACTGGCCAACATCAAGAATGCTATCCACTCAGCCACCATGGCGCCCAGATGTTAGACAAGTATTTAGACCGGTTTCTCTACTGCTCTAATATTTTTTTTATTTTTGTTACTGCCCTCCACCATATTTTTAAACTTTGGAATGTTGAGATTTGAAATGAACATTGAAGTGATGTGTTTTTTCAATAACAGACAATTGTAAGATATGACCTTACATGTCTGTGTTTCATGTCCCAGTTTTATTGTGGTTATAATATTTAATAGGTGTGTAAGCTTAAAAATGTGATCTTTGAATTTTTCAACATTTAGCAAAATTACAATTGCCATTGAAAAAGAATGAAATTATACTTTTGTTCGATTTTAAGCAACCAAATAATTAATTTAATGAAATTAATTCCAAATGTCTTGGGTTGAATTCTCCGTCTGTTTTACCCAAATGGATTCCTTTTGGAAATCTCGTACCTCTGAAACATAGTTGAAGATTTGAAGATGGGTCCCAGGTGCCCTAAACCTTGGCTGGAAAAATCATCTCAAAGATGAGTTTGTTTGGAAAAAAAATCATCAAAGCAAGATTGTACAGATTAAATTGGCTACTATGAAAAATGAGAAGAGCAAATGACTTATGAAATATTGAGAATCCGTACTTTAGCTCTAGAGGATGGAAAGACCAAGATGACTTAATTCTTACAAATGTTGCAGAGAACTTTTCAAAATCATTCACAAACTTTGGAATTACGCTTCAAATTACAAGCAAAGTGCACTCCCAAAGGCAATCTTTTCACTTCTAATGGTATGATTATTCACCACGGCCGGCAGTAAAGAAGATGTGATGTCTGCAAATGAAGCGACTGGATGATTCTAATATCGGCAACTCTGATTGATCCATTTATTTAGACAATGACTATTACACCTTTTCCATTACAGAAGCTTAACTGCTTTATACTAACTGTATTTTTCTCATTTAACTGTATCTACAGCCCTGGGACACAGAGGACAAAGAGGAAATTATGGACATGATTATGATTAGGAAAAAAAAGAAAGAAAGAGATCCTTGTGTCAATGAGCTGAAGAGTCGCATGCAGAGAAACTCAAAGTGGATAATGAAAATACATCATTACTTTCCCATTATGTTAAGTGTAATTTCATACAACCATTAATTGGAATTGAGAAAAAAATATTCAATACTATATACCAGTTGGATAAAACATTTATTATAAAATAAATAGTAAATCCCTAATGGTTTCCTTAAAGTCCATCGATTCATGTTACACCCATGTATATGTTGCCAGGTTACAGCAGCATTGTCATGTCTTCAAGTTTAAAGACATAATTAATTCATTTATAAGTTTGTTTAAAAATACAACACGTTCTTAAATGCTAAAGCAATAAGTTAAATATGTTTGTTATGCAAAAATATAAGGGGAAAACAAAAGTGAGACTTCCTCCCTAGAAAACATCAGTTTCCTGTCCGCGCAGAGTAAGTGCTCTTGTTTTTCTGTAACAATATTTGTTCCCTTGGTAACTGGTACAAGCACGTAATCTAACGTCTCATTTAACGCAGAGAGCTTTCTTGTGTTGAGCCTTGGCAAACTTTCGTCTTTGTAAGTATTATTTAATGTCACAAGCACAATGTTCGGACCACAAAAGTGTTAAGTGTGAAGTGTTAAGTTTGTGCTATATCTGATTAGCTAGCGCTGTATGTAATTTCGTGTGTACAGCCGTTGATAGTGACGCACTTTTTTCTGTTGTTTCAGTTACGGTGATTTTGATGATTTTTTGTATTTTTGGATGCAATGAACCATACACAAGAGATTCTCTGTAAAACAAGAAAAGCAAGCCTTGTCTACAGAGTTTCTTTCCCGTTCGCTGGCTGTCTAGCTTCACATGGTCACGTGTTGTGAGGACAGCACAAGCATAGTCTCAGAACTATAGTCTAAACTCAAAATTTAGACAATTCCATTCCATCCAAGCTAAAAAGCTGCCTCTTGTAGTCCTGTGAATTTAGTTTTAATGAGGAACAAATTAAACATGATGATGTGTGTGTCATTGTCAGATAAGAACATAGATATGTATGTTTTTGTTCCCATTTTCTTTTCATCTTATTCATCTTAATTTACCCAGAGCACAATGCAACAATTAAAACCAATACAAACATGTAAAGATATGTTTAAAAAATACTAAAACCTATTCATAAAAATGCCAGAGTAGCACCATATTCACCAATTTCTTAAAACTTTGAAAAGAGTTGAAATTCGATGACCACCCGATTAGTCTGCGGTGCGCGGTCAACTGATGCCTGAGCTGAACCTTCTCTCGGTGCGGCTGATAGGGCACTGATCCGCCAACAAACCGCCAACAAACCACCCTACACAGCCCGACCACAGCGACCTACGATCGATCGGTTCTCAGGTCACCACACTGGGCCAAGTCGACACCCAATCAAAAAGCAGCTCAGAAGGTCGTCATAGTGATGGATGACCCCAAGTGCAAGTGTGTGTGTGTGTGTGTGTGCGTGTGTTAAAAAGTCTGATGCGCAACGGTTTCTTGTCCATGTGCGCCAGGGCTAGAGCTGTGTGGAGATAAGCGGGAGCAGGATTGGAAGGGTCTATCTGGGTCTTTAGTGAAATGATTTTATCCCCTCATTTAAAGCTTCCACCAGTCCCAGAGATTTCCAGGCCATTGACACGAACAGAAAAACATACAGTGTACACAACCTGGCCCAACACTGCCCAGTTAGAAAAGTAACTCTTGCAAAATAGTGTCCCAAGAAGTAAAGAGATATGATTGAAGAAAGGATATCAAACTTCATTCAGAATTTTTTTTCAATATATCCAACCATTATTTAATTCCAGGTCCACCACATGAGACACTAACAGTTGCCTTGGTTGCTTCATTGTTGCAAAATACATTGGGTATATTTTATTATCGATCGGTGAATTTAGAATTAGAATCCTAATATAGCCATTCTTGCTTTTGTGAATGTTGTGCTTTTTATGTGTTAAAATGTAATATTGTGGGTCATATCAACCGAGGGCAATCTTGACCAACCTGCCATTTTACTATTAATATTTACAATGTATTCAAGGGAATCAATTAGATACAGGTGAAAGTCTCCATGCCATCTCCTGAAAGTTACCTGGCGTTACATTAACATAGTAAAAAAATGCATTTCTCATACATACTAATTACTCTCAGCATTTTTGTTTTCATGTGTTCCCTTCCTCTTCATTCATTCATTCCCCCGTTTCATTGTTACAGTCTCTTGCTTTAACTTTGATTACCTGACACTACTATACAGCTTCCATTCTTTTAATCCCTTCTTCCAAGTACTCCGAGCTTTTATGGTGAGCATCAGTTTCATTACCCGAGTTTAGCAGCCTGCGGCCTCTGCCATATACTACTTTCCATGTTTTATTGCAGCCAGCTCCGTCTTATTTATTCTCTCTTCCCTCGACTTCCCTGTTTCTCTATCTATCCATCTCCCCCGCTACGTCCCGCTATCTCCTTCACTCTCCCAAGTTTACCATAACCATGATTTGGGTCTCAGTTGCTTCATTACAAGCTGCCTCCTTTATAGTCCATCTGCAGTACTATTTGCATTTGTCACGCACGCTAACACCGTTGGGGAATGCAGTCGTACAATGAAGACTTTTTTTTTTTCTTCTTAGTTTTCTCTACAGTAGGTTTACATTTAGACATTGTTTCCCGGCCTTTTGCTGGTCTAGTAATTACATGTTCTAAGATGAGACAGGATTGGTAAAAATACAGGAAAAAATAACAATAGAAGAAAGACTGCAGAGATAAAAATATGGCCAAGTAAGGTATAGAAGAGACATAATGAATAGAATTATAGGAAGCTTATAGCTGTAAAGGGCTCCAAGT